TTTCCCTGCTCCAGCTCCTCTCCCGCCGAGCCAGGATTTGCTCCGTGGTTTTCTTGGAGCCCCTCTGGGTGTCCCCAATCCCGGTGGCTCTGGGGACGCCCATTCCCGGCTCCCCGGAGCCTCCCAAGCCCCCGGGGCCACCCCAATCCGGAGGGAAGGGGTTCGGAGATGCCGAGCGGGATTTTCCCAGCTCCGGAGGCTCCGGCTCGGGATCTCATCCCGGTTTTCTCCATCCCCAGATGTCCCCGAGGTTGAGGTGGCCCTGGAGAACAACCTGGTGAGATATCGGGGTGCTCCTGCCCCATCCCACACCTGCACCTCTCCTTTCCCTCCCCATCCTGCTATTCCCGAGCTTTCCTCCCCCACGAATTCCCACATCCCACTGGGCACAATATGGGAAATTCCTTAGCCATGGCACCCAGACCCATCCCAGACCCCCCGTGCCTCAGTTTCCCCATTCCCGAGGGTGTTCCCATCCTAACTCCCTGCTCTTCCCGCAGGAAGAGGATCCAGCCCATCCCAGACCCCCCGTGCCTCAGTTTCCCCATTCCTGAGAGTGTTCCCATCCTAACTCCCTGCTCTTCCCGCAGGAAGAGGATCCAGCCCATCCCAAGCCCCCCGTGCCTCAGTTTCCCCATTCCTGAGGGTGTTCCCATCCTAACTCCCCGCTCTTCCCGCAGGAAGAGGATCCAGCCCATCCCAAGCCCCAGAGCGTCTCCCCCAGCCCGGAGGAGATCCACGTGGGGCAGGTGAGGCCCATCCATCCCTTCAAGGGGGGATCCGCTGGGATCCAGGCGTTCCCACCCCAATCCCCATCCCAACCCCAATTCCCAATCCCAATCCCAATTCTCATCCCAATCCCACCCCAATCCCCATCCCAACCCCAATTCCCAAGCCCAATCCCAATTCTCATCCCAATCCCACCCCAGCCCCAATCCCAATTTTACTCCAATCCCATCCCGATTCCAATTCCAATTCCAATTCCATCCCAGTCTCAATTTCCATCGCAATCTCATCCCAATCCTACCCCAATCCCAATCCCACCTCACTCCCAATGCCCATCCCAATTCCCATCCCAATCCACATCCCAATCCCACCCCGATCCCACCCCAACCCCAATCCCAATCTCACCCCAATCCCAGCCCAATTCCAATCCCACCCCATTCCTATCTCAATCCAAGTCCCAATCCCACCTTGATCCCACCCCAAACCCAACCCCACCCCGATCCCATCCCCGATCCCGCTCCCGCTTTTCCAGCCGGTCCCACTGTGCTGCTGGACGTCGCGGCCGCAGCCCACGGTGGAGCAGGGCAGCCAGGTGTCCCCCAAGATCCTGAAGCTGGAATGCGACCACGAGCCGGGCCCCAGCCGTCCCAAATCCCGCTGGGAATTCCCGACGCAGCCCGGGCCCTCGGCAGCACCGCACAACTGCGCCCGCGCCGGCGACACCGGTGGGCGCCGGGAGCGTCCCCGTTCCCGTTATTCCATGTGTCCCCGTTCCCGTTATCCCGCGTGTCCCCATTCCCGTTATCCCGCGTGTCCCCGTCCCCGTTATCCCGCGTGTCCCTGTCCCTGTTATCCCGCGTGTCCCCGTTCCCATTATCTCGCGTGTCCCCATCCCCGTTATCCCACGTGTCCCCGTTCCCGTTATCCCGCGTGTCCCCGTTCCCGTTATTCCGTGTGTCCCTGTCCCCATTATCCCTCATGTCCCCTTTCCCGTTATCCCGCGTGTCCCCGTCCCCGTTATCCCGCGTGTCCCCGTTCCCGTTATCCCGCGTGTCCCCGTTCCCGTTATCCCGCGTGTCCCCGTCCCCGTTATCCCGCGTGTCCCCGTCCCTGTTATCCCGCGTGTCCCTGTTCCCGTTATCTCGCGTGTCCCTGTTCCCGTTATCCCGCGTGTCCCCGTCCCCGTTATCCCGCGTGTCCCCGTCCCCGTTATCCCGCGTGTCCCCGTTCCCGTTATCTCGCGTGTCCCTGTTCCCGTTATCCCGCGTGTCCCCATTCCCATTATCCTGCGTGTCCCCGTTCCCGTTATTCCGTGTGTCCCTGTCCCCATTATCCCTCATGTCCCCTTTCCCGTTATCCCGCGTGTCCCCGTTCCCGTTATCCCGCGTGTCCCCGTTCCCGTTATTCCATGTGTCCCTGTCCCCATTATCCCGCGTGTCCCCGTTCCTGTTATCCCACGTGTCCCCGTTCCCGTTATTCCGTGTGTCCCCGTTCCTGTTATCCCGTGTGTCCCCATTCCCGTTATCCTGTGTGTCCCTGTCCCTGTTATCCCGCGTGTCCCCATTCCCGTTATCCCGCGTGTCCCCATCCCCTGGGATCCCCCCCGGCCTCTCTGTGCCCCCATTCCCTGCTAGGCCTGGCCACGGATGGGGACGGTGCAGATCCGTGGGATTTAGGGATCCATGGGATGAGGGATCCACTTGGTCAGGGATCATTGGGATGAGGGATCTGTGGGATGAAGGAACCATGGAATTCAGGATCCATAGGGTGAAGGATCTGTGGGGTGAAGGTTCCATGGGATGAAGGATTTGTGGGATGAGGGATCTGTGGGATGAGGGATCTGTGGGATGAAGGAACCATGGGATGAGTGATCCATGGGATGAAGGATCCATGGAATTTAGGATCCATGGGGTGAAGGAACCATGGGGTGAAGGATCAATGGAATTCAGGATCCATGGGGTGAGAGATCCATGGGGTGAAGGAACCATGGGGTGAAGGGTCCATGTGATGAAGGATCTGTGGGATGAGGGATCCATGGGATGAGGGATCTGTGGGGTGAAGGAACCATGGAATTCAGAATTCATGGGATGAAGGATCCATGGAATTCAGAATCCATGGGGTGAGGGATCTGTGGGGTGAAGAACCATGGAATTCAGAATCCATGTGATGAAGGATCTGTGGAATTCAGGATCCACGGGGTGAGGGATCCATGGAATGAGGGATCCGTGGAATGAAGGATCCATGAGATGAAGGATCTGTGGGATAAGGGTTCCATGGGGTGAGGGATCCATGGGGTGAGGGATCCATGGAATGAGGGAGCCATGTGATGAAGGATCCATGGGATGAGGAATCCGTGGGATGAGGGATCCATGGGATGAGGAATCTATGGAATAATGGGTCCATGGGATGAAGTAACCATGGCATGAGGGATCCATTGGATGAAGGAACCATGGGATTAAGGATCCATGGAATTCAGGATCCATAGGGAGAGAGATCCATGGGGTGAGGGAACCACCGGATGAGGAATCCGTGGGATGAAGGATCCGTGGGATGAGGGATCCATGGAATAAGGGGCCATGGGATGAAGTAACCATGGGATGAGGGATCCATGGGGTGAGGGATCCATGGAGTGAAGGATCCATGGAATTCAGGATCCATGGGGTGAGGGATCCCAGGAATTCAAGATCCTTGGAGTCACGGCCATTCCAGGGGTTGGCTCTGGGCGCATATGTCGGGAATGTTGATCCCGCAGGATCCGGAATTTTGGGATTTCCATTTCAGAGGACGGCAGCATCATCATCTGCAGCTCGGACGACAGCGACGAGGACACCGTGGTGGTGACGGTGACACCGGAGCCGTGCTGACGTCCCAGCAGATCGTCCCGCCATTCCCATTCCCAGAATTCCGCTTGGGCTTTCCTCCTCTTGGCCATTCCCAAATTTATTCCTGGACTGAGGCTCCGGTGTTCTGGAGCGGCCCCAAATCTGGCTGGGATCTGCTGGGATCTCTTCTTCGGGGCTTTGAGGTTTCCTGGTGTCGTGGTTTGACACGGAAAGAGAATTTTTTCCGGAAGGAAGAGGTCAATTTGGATATTGACCAATGGAAGGTGGACACGCCTCTGAGAACACAGAGGGGTTAAAAGCAGAATTCCCAGGGAACTCGCTCTCTTTGGTTCCGGTCAGCGTGCAGTGGAAACCTCCCCTGCCCAGCCACGAGCTGGGTGGGGAGGGGAAGCCCCATGGCCTGACTGAGGTAAGGCCCAAGGGTGGTGGAAGGACTGGAACCGGGCTGGCCCCTGCAGATGGAAGGGTGGAAGGAATCTGGGATGTCTCAGTTCCCGCCCCCCCGCCCCAGAGTTTCTCTCCTGAGAGGGAGAGAGAAAAGAGACAGCGGCAGTTCTGTCAGCAATTCCACCACGAGGAAGGAGGAGCAGGGGGAGCTGCAAGGTGCCCACTTGTGTGGGAGTTGCTGGATGTCCAGGCATGGAGCCATCCAGGGAGTTCAGACTTTTAACCCTTCCTTGAGAAATGAAAGCTTTGTGAATTTTCCTTTCTCCTCCTCGGTTTGAAAGAGAGGAAGAGGGACACCTTGGACCCTGGGATGGGATGTTGGAAGGAGGAATTCTAGATGGGAGGGGGACAAGGAGTGGCTTTTGGCTGGACTTTTCCGTGTTAGCCACAACCTGAACCAATCTTCTCCTCCAAGAGAGACTGTGTTTTTGGAGGATGCCAGTGAGTCAAGAGACCTGCTTCAGCTGGGAAAAGACAAGAGTGGAGTGAACAGAGAAAAGGTTAGGGGGTTTTTGGTGGCCCTTGTCCTCAAAGGAAAGAGAAGAGAAGAAGATCTCTGTCTTGAGCCCTCGGCCCCAGGGGAAATGGAAAAAATGGGGGGGACTGTGGTCCCAAACAATGAAAAACTGAACTGTTGTTTTCTCCCCTCTTGGCAGGGCATCCTTGAAAGGAAAAATCCTAAAGGCAGTGACCATCCATGCATTGTGGTGAGAGCACTGTGCATGGAAAGGAGAAGGGTCACCATGGCAAACTTTTCTCTGGGCGGTGCCATGTGTGACATGGAAACACAGGATGTGGAGCTGTGTTTCTTGGGGGGTCTGTGGCACAGGAAAGACTCTGTTTCCTCGATGGACTGAGTATCGATTGCTTGGAGGGTGGAAACCTGATTGGGGTCCGGATTGTGTCTCACTGTGGTTTGTTGGAGTTGGGTGGTGGGGGGAGGAATGCTTTGCAAGGTTTTCATTTGATCTTTGTGTGGGTTTTTTTTTTTCCCCTTCTTTAGTTTTCTCTTTTCTTTTGTAGTGGTAGTTTAATAAAGTTTTTTTCCTGTTATTAAGCTTGGGCCTGCTTTGCTCTGTTCTAGATTCCACTTCACAGCATTCAAGGGAGGGATCACATTTTCATGGGGGCACTGGCATTGTGCCAGTGTCAAACCATGACACCTGGGAATCTTGCTCTCCTCTTGGAACACACCTGGCTAGATCCCAAAATAAAATTTGGGATGGGAGTCGGGATCCGTGCTGGCGGATCCTGTTCTCAAGCCCCCCCAAAGGTGGGGAGACGATCCCAAGGGTGGGATCCCCCTCTGGGATCCCCCCCAGCAATTGGAGCAGGGAATTCCTCGGGATCGGGATCGGGATCAGGATTGGGATTGGGATTGGGGTTGGGATTTGGGCCGATTTCCTGATGTAATGAGGGATTAAAATCCCGGGTTTTTTTATGTCTCCCCTCAATAAATTTGCTCCGGGATAAAATTCCAGCCTTGCTTTTCCCAGTCCATCCTGAGCAGAGGGAAAATTGGGAATTTTGGGATAAAATGTGACTCTGCTCCCTGCTCCTGGCACCGACCCCAGCGTTTCAGGGATGAGAGAGGTTCCAGGGATAAAATTCCCACCTTCCGTGGGTGGAGGAGCCTGTTCCAGCCACGTTCCCACAAATCCGGGGCTGCCGGGAAAGAGGGAAAGGGAAATTCCATTGTCCTGAGGAAAAGAATGTGGGATTGTCCCGAGGAAAAACAGGGAATGAATTCGGGGCTCTGCTTTTATCCCAGATCCCAGGGTTTTTTTGGGACACCCCAAGCTCCAGGAATGTTTCCATGGATTAAATTCTGAGGATTTCTGGGATTTGAGCATTCCTGCCTCAATCCCAGCTGGATTTGGGATTCCCAGTTCCAATTTTTGGAATTTCCCAGCTCCAGGACTGTTTTCCATGGATTCAATTCCCGGGATTTGTCCCGGCTGGATTTGGGATTCTCAGATCCCATTTTCAGGGTTCCTCACTCCAGGAATGTTTCCATGGATGAAATTCCTGGGATCTGAGCATTCCATGGATTCAATTTCCATTCCTCGCTCCCAGGCTGCCCCATCCAGCCCCAAGCCACCAGCCGGGATTGGGGTCCCTTCTCCTGCCTTTCCCAGGATTTTGGGGACATGGGGACACCGGCCCATGGAGGTGGCACCTGGCCCTGTCCTCACCCCGACCTTTGTGATTCCCGGTTGGAGCCGGGAATTCCGGAATTCCATGGCATCTAGGGTGTCCCCAAGGGTGACATTGTCTGGGGAATTTGGGGACATGGAGAAACCCATGGACGTGGCACCGGGTGTCCCATGGAGGTGACACTGTGTGTCCCATGGAGGTGGCACTGGGTGTCCCATTGAGGTGGCACTGGGTGTCCCATGGGGGTGGCACCGGGTGTCCCATGAAGATGACACTGTGTGTCCCATGGAGGTGACACCGGGTGTCCCATGGAGGTGACACCGGGTGTCCCATGGAGGTGACACCGGGTGTCCCATGGAGGTGACACTGTGTGTCCCATGGAGGTGGCACCGGGTGTCCCATGGGGGTGACACTGTGTGTCCCATGGGGGTGTCACTGTGTGTCCCATGGAGGTGACACTGTGTGTCCCATGTGGGTGACACTGTGTGTCCCATGGAGGTGACACCGGGTGTCCCATGGAGGTGACACTGTGTGTCCCATGGAGGTGACACTGTGTGTCCCATGGAGGTGACACTGTGTGTCCCATGTGGGTGACACTGTGTGTCCCATGGAGGTGACACCGGGTGTCCCATGGGGGTGACACCGGGTGTCCCATGGGGGTGACACTGTGTGTCCCATGGGGGTGACACTGTGTGTCCCATGGAGGTGACACTGGATGTCCCGTGGGGGTGACACTGGGTGTCCCATGAAGGTGACACTGTGTGTCCCATGTGGGTGACACTGTGTGTCCCATGGAGGTGACACCGGGTGTCCCATGCAGGTGACACTGTGTGTCCCATGTGGGTGACACTGTGTGTCCCATGTGGGTGACACTGTGTGTCCCATGGAGGTGACACTGTGTGTCCCATGGAGGTGACACTGGGTGTCCCATGGGGGTGACACTGTGTGTCCCATGGGGGTGACACCGGGTGTCCCATGGAGGTGACACCGGGCGGTGTCGCCGGGCGGGTCTGGCTGTGACGAGGCCGTGCCACCACCAGGTGTCCCCCCTGCACAGCGGCTCGAGGCTGGCGCTGCTCTGGGGACACGGGGACACTGACACGGGGACACTGACACTGGGACAGTGACACGGGGACAGTGACACGGGGACAGTGACACAGGGACACTGACACGGGGACACTGACACTGGGACAGTGACACGGGGACACTGACACGGGGACACTGACACAGGGACAGTGACACGGGGACACTGACACGGGGACACTGACACGGGGACACTGACACAGGGACAGTGACACGGGGACACTGACACGGGGACACTGACACAGGGACAGTGACACGGGGACACTGACACGGGGACACTGACACTGGGACAGTGACACGGGGACAGTGACACGGGGACACTGACACAGGGACAGTGACACAGGGACAGTGACACGGGGACAGTGACACGGGGACACTGACACTGGGACAGTGACACGGGGACACTGACACGGGGACACTGACACGGGGACAGTGACACGGGGACAGTGACACGGGGAGAGTGACACGGGGACACTGACATGGTGACACTGACCCTGTGACACTGACATGGTGACCTTGTGACACTCAAATGTTTGACACTGACCTGGTGACACTGACGACACTGACACTGTGACACACGTGTGACACTGAGGACACTGACACGGTGACAATGACATGTGCGACACTGACACAGTGACACTGTGACCCTGTGACACTGACCCTGTGACACTCACATGTGTGACACTGAGGACACTGGCCCTGTGACACTGAAATGTGTGACAGTGACACAGGGACACTGACCTGATGACAGTGACATGGGGACACTGACACAGGGACAGCGACACGGGGACACTGTGACACTGACATGTGTGACAGTGACATAGTGACGCTGTGACACTGACACTGTGACACTGACATGGGGACGCTGACCCTGTGACACTGTGACACTGACATTTGTGACACTGACATGGGGACACTGACTCTGTGACACTGACAAGGGGACACTGACATGGTGACACTGATACGGTGACACTGAGTCTGACACAGTGACCCTGTGACACTGACACGGTGACACTGACCCTGTGACACTGACACGGTGACCTTGTGACACTGACATGTTTGACACTGACTTGGTGACAACTGATGACACTGACACTGTGACACACGTGTGACACTGAGGACACTGACACAGTAACAGTGACATGTGCGACACTGACACAGTGACACTGTGACACTGACCCTGTGACACTCACATGTGTGACACTGAGGACACTGACACGGTGACACTGAAATGTGTGACAGTGACATGGTGACACTGATCCGGTGACACAGAGAGTGTGACACTGACATATCTGACACTGACCCTGTGACACTGA